GAGAAGAGGACACATGGAGGATGTCTGATGGCTGGTGTTGAGGCTCAGAAGCGTTGTACAGCTAGACCAGATTCGGAAAAGCAATGCAGCTGTGGTGCATCATATGCCAGGGTCCTGGTAGGAAAGATATGGCACCCTCAGCTAGGTAAATAGAGGAGCATGTGACTTACAAAAGTGCTGGAGGAGGAGAGGACACCAGGAACGGCGTAGTGCCTTGGCTTTGGAGCTGTCTTTGCTGTCCTAGGGCTGAAGTAGGAGGAGAAAAATCATAACAGAACCGGGTGACTGCCAGGCTCTGGGGAGAGGACTTCCCAAGAGGGGCCTGGACTTCCAGGTAGGGGAAGCAGCCAGCCCTCCAGGAGACAGCCAGGAGACAGCCTGCGAAACAGGGGCCTCTCCCTCAGTCTCCCCATCCTCCCATTCCCTATCTCATTCTCTAGGAGACAAGAGAGCCTCCGGCCCAGAGCAAGATGTCGCGTGGAGGAAGAATTTGGAATCAAAGCACACCCTTACTCCCCATGGCACAAGTCATCAAACCAACCTGGGCATCAAAATCTTATTTATAAGCTAAAAGCCGTCATCCTTCTCCTGTGATTTGCAGAGGACTCCTCATACAAGGCGGCGCTTCCTGCGACAATGCCAGAGGGTCCCACTGGGACTGGAGAGTGCACCATTCCCAAGGCGCAGTGGGAGCTAGCTCAGGGAAGCCTTTCCTCCCTCTCCGAGGAGCCTCCAGCCACTTTTTTTTTTTTTTTGAGACGGAGTTTCGCTCTTGTTACCCAGGCTGGAGTGCAATGGCGAGATCTCGGCTCACCGCAACCTCCGCTTCCTGGGTTCAAGCAATTCTCCTGCCTCAGCCTCCCGAGTAGCTGGGACTACAGGCGCGCGCCACCATGCCCAGCTAATTTTTGTATTTTTTTAGTAGAGACGGTGTTTCACCTTGTTGACCAGGAGGCCGAGGCGGGTGGATCACGAGGTCAAGAGATCGAGACCATCCTGGTCAACATGGTGAAACCCCGTCTCTACTAAAAATACAAAAAATTAGCTGGGCATGGTGGCGCGTGCCTGTAATCCCAGCTACTCGGGAGGTTGAGGCAGGAGAATTGCCTGAACCCAGGAGGCGGAGGTTGCGGTGAGCCGAGATCGCGCCATTGCACTCCAGCCTGGGTAACAAGAGCGAAACTCCGTCTCAAAAAAAAAAAAAAAAAAAAAAAAAAAAAAAAAAAAGAATTTCTCTTCCCTGTGGTCAGCTTGGCCAGGGGCAGCTTCCGAGCTGCGCCAATGCCCGCCTCTGGCCAGGGGTTCACGCGCGTAGAGCAGCGCCCTGGGCCCTTGGAGGAGAAGTGGAGATCGCAGCGCCAGGGACAACCAGGAGCTCCGACGACCGCGGCCTCCCCGCTAACCCCCAACGAAGGTACGGCGGGAGTTCAGGCTGAGATCAAGTTCCCTTCCCAGTGCTCGGGGGAGACAACTGGCTGCGGCTGCCCCCGGCTCAGCTCTCGGCTGTCCTGCAGCTGCGAGGCCAGGATCAGAGCGCTCCCTTCCGGGCGGGCATCGGAGCCGCTGCGGCGCCGACCGCTTTGCACGCCCGCGCCGCTGAGGAAGGCGGAGCGAGCTCGCAGCTGCTATCCCCGGAGGGGCCGCCTGGCTGGCGAGGGGCGCGGGAGGAGGGTCCGGATTCCGGTGGCAGGAACTGGGGCTCTGAGCCACCAGTTCAGGCGGCCCCAGGAAATGCCTGCTTTGCGGTCCCGCAGCGGGTAGCGGGGGAGCTCGGCCCCGGAGGGCGGCTGCTGGGGAGGCGGAGCTGGTCGCGGGGCTCCAGCAGCGGCGGAGTTCCAGCAGCTGCGGAGCCTCCTATACCCAGCCTAGAATCAGAGGAACTTCAGGCGGAAAATACTGCGGGGACATTTTGGCTCAAGTCTCCCATTCTACAAATGTGAAATTTTACGGTGACCCGATTGGGGTTACACAGAGTTGTTGGTAGCAGAACCTGGGGGAAGAGGGAGAGGAGAGGGCCCCTGAGGCGGCCCTGCCCTATCCTAAAGGAGAGGGGATGCTTCCCAGATTAGAGCCCTCAGAGGCCCTAGCTGCGCCCCCCGTTAGATAATGCCAAATAAACCAACCCTAATAAAACATAAACCGTAGAGGCATGCTGAAATAGAATTCTCTCTCTTCTACATTTCCGAATGCCAAAATTTTGAATGAGTTTATTAGAGGTAAACCTTTCCCTCGGTTTTAGTGGTGGCATTCTGCTGATGCCCAGGCTCCAAGCGTGGGGAACCCCGCAAAGGTTAAGGGCAGACGCTCAAACTGGGTTCACGGTTAATTTGGCTACCACCTCTGTCCAGGTTTGAGCCTTGAGTTCTGCATCGGCGGAATGGGAAGTTGGATGGGAGAGACAGCGCTTGCCAAGGGTGAACCAAGGGCGACCGCGCGCATGGGAATTTCACGGAGCAGCCTGTGACTCTCGAGCGCAATGAGAGGATCAGCCGAGTGGGCAAAAGGGCCAAAGCGTCCGTTCGCCGCCCAAATCCTCTTCTGGCGCCGTTTCCCATCCTGTCCAGGCGCTGTCCAGGCCCCAGACGACCCTCTGACTTTGCCCAGGGAAGGCCTCGCGGCGTGGTGCGCCTCGTGAACTCCCTGTTGTTCTCAATAATGGGAATTGAATGGACGCCGGGTGGGCCCGGCCAGAGACTTAGCTGTGGGAGCTCAGCTCTTCGCTGCACTCAGAGCTATTTGCAACACATAGCTCACATCTTTACCTCCACTCCCTCCTTCCCTCAATCCACCCCCGGAAAAAAGGAATGCCAAATGTATTCAGCTGGCTCGATTTGTAATTGCTCACTTATTAGACTTCACTAATCCTCAGGATAGGGACCTTTTTTATTGGGATTATCAAAATCCTTAAAACACTGGAAGACTCACAACCAGGCAGGCCTGAAGTTAGCCACGCGGGAGCTACAGTTCGCCTAACACACACCTATACAACATGAATTTTCACCTAAATAACGTAAAATTTGAATACACCGACTGCGGAGACACTATTTCCTCTTCACATATCCAAGTAGAGTCGGGCTAGTGCTGAGAAACGTATTTGTTCTTGTTTTAGAAGATTAAAATAATGAATTATATTTAAGAATTAAAGGCGAAGAACAAACACAACGTCCCAATGAGAGAGGGAAATAAAAGCTAGAGAGGTTATTGCTGAGAATATGAAAGCGGGAGGGAACTCCTCTGCCTAACTTATTTCTCCCCCAACAGTTTAGTAAGGAAACGTCTTGGGCTCATAGTAGTTACAAAGAAGTCGCCCGTAGCACAGCCAGGGCGCACGGGTCCGGTGGTGACCGCTGTGCTATCTAAATCCTCTCTGACCATTACCGCTGCTCAGGCACATTTTCAAACCACAGGTGCTTACGTCGTCAATCTGGCTTTCTCAGCTTGCTTCCGACGGTGGGGGACCGGACCCAGGGTGGGGCTGCGTAAACTCAGGGACACTTGGGAACATTTACTCAGGAAGGGAGAGTGAGAGGGGCCGGTTGGTCCTGGACCGCGTGGTCGAGGGACCAGGGCTCAGGTCGGTTCCGCTGCGCCCGCCTTCGCCGTAAGTGAAGTATAGCGCGGGCGGAGGCTCCCAGTGAGTCACTTCGTGGGTGACAGCCCCGGGGGTCGCTCTGGAGTCGGAAGGAATGTTCTGTCCCCGGAACCTCTTGCAGCCGGGAGTTGAAGGCCCTCTGGCCCCGCAGAGGCTGGATTGCAGGCATCGAAAACTTCCTGAACACGACCAGTATGAACTTGATCCCGAGCTTCCGAACTCCAAACGCCTGGGCAAGAATTCAGCAAAGCGCCGCACCGTCCACTCGCACTTCCCCCAGCTGTTTCTTGGAAGACCGGCTTACCCGCCCCAGTCCCGGGTGGGTCATTTTGCCAAAGAAAATGGGGTTGGGGTGCCTTCGAGTAGACTTTCACTATTAAATAAGTGCACTTCGGTGATGGATTTGTTCCAAATTGATATTTGACTTAAAAAAAAAAAAGCGGTAGCGAATGGCAGCACGAAATAATCAGTGTCACAAGTCAGCCAATCAAACTGTCTCCTAAATTAAGGCAAATGTTGGATTTATATCTATTCAGGGAAAAGGGGAAGATGGAAAATTTTCTCAAACCTAACGTCTCCAACAAACTCATATCAGATGAAACTTCCTACACATGACTCCCACGCACACGTTTCGACCAGGAAACTTTTGTTTACTAGACTCTCTCTTCCTGTTAATTTCTCCGGTCTCTCCTTTCCCTTCCCCAACTCATTTTCCGCAGTTTGGAAGGCTGGAGATTTTTCTTAAGGACACTTTACACTGATCCCAGTTAACCGGCAGGCCAAGGGAGAGGAATACCTGGCAAAAGAATAAGAAAGACACACACACACACACACACACACACACACGAGTTGACAGAGATTTGTACTTAAACTTCCGTGCCCACGCCTGCCCCGGACAGGCCTCCGAATGAGTCGCCGGCGTGGGTTGGGCGGGTTCGAGTGCCTAGTGCATCTCTGCCCCTGCTCTCCCCCCTCCAACTGCCTCCCTACACTGCAACACTTATCACGAAACCTCCTGTGAAACATCTGGATGGAGACTCGCGTCCCAACATCTGGGCAACTACAGCCAAGGCTGGCTCCTAGGGAGAGAGTGCGGAAATGCGTGCGGGTGCTGGGACGCACCTCTCTGTAGAGTAAGACCTCTCCCAGCGCTCGGTCACTGCAGCATTCTTCCCATCGTCTGCTCCTGTCACCAGCCCCTAGCTCCGCCCCCTGGGCCCGCCCCTTGTTCCGCAGCCAATGGCAATCCCCGACAGCCCGACACCGCCCAGAAGCCTTTCCACACCCCCACGTCCCGGGAGCGGGTTGGCTGCTGAGCGCTCGGCGCAGCGCCCGTATTTGCATGGTGTTCGGGGTTCCTGGTAGGTAGAGCAGCCCGTCACTCTGGAAGGCCAGGACCGCCCACTCCACCTCTGTCCCCAGCTCTCTTCCTGCGCAGTTCTCCTCCGCAGCCTCTGCGGGGAAGTGCCGGGGCTGCTCTCGAGGCTCAGTTTTTAGGACTGCGAGGAGGCAGCCCCGGCGTGCGGCAGTGCGCACCATCTAGAGTGGCCAGGGCGCGGGAGTGCAACGTCCTCCTGGCTCCGAACGCGTCGTCGAGCCCCAGGAGCAGACCCTCGGCCAGCAGTTACCCCCGTCCCGACTTTCAGTTCCAGTTGCAGCTCCTGCCGGGCAACATGTCAAGAGCCGCCGCCGCTACAGCTGCCGCCGCCACCTGGGGAAGAGCAGCAGCAGCAGCGGCGGCCGCGGGCATGCGGGGGCTATAAACCGAGCCGCCCGGGCTTCCAGCGGGCTAGGAAACCCTCTCTGCGCTCACTGCCCGGCGGGACCCACGCCATGTGCTGAGCCATGCCCCTGGCCGCGCCCGCGGGCAGCGTATGGGGCAGCGCCTGAGTGGCAGCCGATCTTGCCTCGATGTCCCCGGCCGGCTCCTACCGCAGCCGCCGCCGCCCCCGCCGCCGGTGAGGAGAAAGCTCGCGCTGCTCTTCGCCATGCTCTGCGTCTGGCTCTATATGTTCCTGTACTCGTGCGCCGGCTCCTGCGCCGCAGCGCCAGGGCTACTACTGCTGGGCTCGGGGACCCGCGCCTCACACCCCTCGCCAGCCCTGGCCCCGGCTCCACACGGGACGCCTCCCAGGCTGCCGTTCCGGGCACCGCCAGCCACTCCACTGGCTGCGGGCAAGGAGATGGCCGAGGGCGCTGCGAGCCCGGAGGAGCGGAGTCCGGAGGTACCGGACTCCCCAAGCCCCATCTCCAGCTTTTTCAGTGGATCTGGGAGCAAGCAGCTGCCGCAGGCCATCATCATCGGCGTGAAGAAGGGCGGCACGCGGGCGCTGCTGGAGTTCCTGCGCGTGCACCCCGACGTGCGCGCCGTGGGCGCCGAGCCCCACTTCTTCGATCGCAGCTACGACAAGGGCCTCGCTTGGTACCGGTGAGTTTCCCCGCCAGGGGCAGGGGCTCCAGCGTGGATTCCGACCCTGAGCGAAGGGAAACCAGAAGGATAAGGAAATGGCAGGGTTACAGCTTCGGACCACCCGGGGTGGGGCAGGGAAACCACCGCGGATTGCGGGCCGGTGGCGCCGCGCATCCTGTCCGGGTGCGGTGCGGGGTGCGCCCCGCCCGGTTCTCGCCACAACCCACAGAAAGTTCTTGCGGAGCGCTGGCAGCTCAGTGGTCTACGGTGCCCTTGAATTAATCAGGCGACCTCGCCTCAAAGAAGAGGGGCAGCGACTGAGACCGCGCTAGGCAAAGCGAGCCACCCTCTAACCATGGCGGTACCGAAGCTAATGGTATTTTATGACTCAATTTTAATTTTTCCTCTCGGAGCCGGAGACGCTGGGAATGTTCTGCGCCCCTCTGGTGGGTCTCCGACCTCAGCCAACTTCTAGAGCAGCTTCTGCTTCCCAGATGGGAGAGGGGGCGGGGACGACGGCGTCGGGCCCAGGCCGCTGAGTCTGCTAACTTTTTGTTACAGTCCGCTTGCTTACCAAGAGGTTCAGACCCGCTTCGCTCGCGAGCCGCCTGGGCTCGGGAGGGTGAGCTGGGCGGGTGGCCTGGCGGGCGGCGCGCGGAGCATGGAGCTGTGCTGGTCCCTGTCGGGCAAAGGCGCGCACTGCAACCGGCAGGAGCGGCGCGCGGCTTTGAAGGCGTCCGGTCCCCCGGGCACCGCCGCCGGTTTCCGCCTCCCTGGCCTCGGTGCTGGGATAGCGAAAGCAAGGACGCGTGTCTCCGCGGGGCTTTTACACGTCCCGGGTAAAGAATATTAGGGGCCCATTGATTGAGAAATGAGGGTTGCTTCGAGGTCGCGATTTCCGGAAATTCTGTTCTGGAGTCGGGTTGCGGGTCATGTTCCAAAGGGACAGCGGCCCCGGGGTCATAATCATGACCCCTGCCCACTGCTTTCCGCAGCTGCTGGTCGTTGGGGGTAAACTGTTGGGTTGCCTGGGCTTCGGGTAAGGCGTGAGTGAGCAGGTCTAGACTCCGGCCTCGGATAACTGTGTCCGACTAGGGGCCCAGGTACCGGCCCCCACCTCTTCGCTGGGGTCTACACCCGCAACCCCAGCCAGCACGACGTTCAGGCACCCCTCCAGGCCCAATTAGCTTCACAGCAGAGGCTCGAGACTTGGGAAAACAAAAGAGAAGAAGAAAACTGAACCCCCCTCCCTGTCCCCACCCCACTATCGGGACCTGGGTGGGATGGAGAATAAAAGCGGGCTGACCTCGCGGATTAAAACCGCTCTTTTCCCAGCCTTGTCCTACTCTGTCCCCCTTTGTCCTTAATGTTTTATATTGTCAGGAGTTGCCTAAGTCTCGAGGTTTAACCAGCCGTGACAGTCACCCTTCCCACCGTTCCCGGGCTATATAACGCATTCTCGGGACACTGGTGGATAAGAATGCGGGCTCTGGAGTCCGACGCCTGGATTCATGTCTTGGTTAGTCGCGTGAACCTCGGTGCTCTCATCTGTGCAGTGGGAATAATGCAGATTCTGGGCAGGGATGGGGAGAGTGAATAGGCTGGTAAGGTCAGGTGCCTCGCAGGCACGTGAGGGCTGCTGGAATTGTTAGGTACTGTCATCCATTGTGTTGTTATTCCCACCACCACTCCCCACCTCCTGGGATAGTGATTCCGGGGCCGGGTGGCAGGCTACAACTAGCGCCCTTCCAGGTGGAACCCGCCAGAGCCCGGAGGCAGCCTAGGATTTTCTGAGATCAGACACACTTGGGGCCGGGTTGGGAGGAACTGGCAAGAAAAGGACTGAACCCTTGATGTCAGGCAGTTTTGAAGCACCTGGGGCAAGCTATGGAAATCCCCATAGGAAAACGCACGCGGTCTTTTAGGAGGCTGCCCTCCACCTGCCACTTTCCTTTTGATTGACTCAAAAATGCTGAATGAAGAACGAAGTCGCATGGAAACCCTCGCCACGCGCCTGCTGCGGAGGGCGCAGCCCGGGAGGTTCTGGTGGGGACATGCGCCCGGGGTGTGCGCGGCGAGCGGCCGCTCACCGCGACTGGACCCGGGAGTGGGGGTGGCGCCAGGGTTTAGCTGGGACGCGGGAGGCGGGAGGTTTTTCGTCCTCTGGAGCCATCTCCCTGAATTGATAAGCGTGACTGCCGGGACCAGGAGGCACAGGGCCCGCGGAGGTGGCCCGGCTGACCCGGCTGTGGGAGCCCATTGCAGATGCAGCAACTGGCCCCAAACACTGCGTTCTTGGACTGCACCAGCAGTGCCCCGGCGCGGCCGCAGGGTTGATGGATATTTTCCAAGGGGGGAAAAAATCTTTTAAATACTATCTGTTTACTTAAAATTTTTTAATTTAGAATAATTGATGGATGTCTGGGCAAAGGTATGGACGTCATAATTTTGAAGGCGGCCTTTTTAACTTTAAACAGACCACGCCAGGAGGCGACTCCTGATCTAGAGCGCTTTACCTAAAATCTGGTGCCCAGAGTGCACCCTTCACCCTCTCTGGAGTTCCCTCCTCTCTGCCAAGCTTTGCTCCGTGCCAGAGGTGTGCTCCATTGTATCTCCTCTCTGTCCCTGCAGTCAGACAACCAATGGGAGAAGAGTACAAATAGTAATTAACCAGGGAGAGTTGCAATTCAGAAGCCTGGTACAAGTCCTCAAGAACTAGAGAATTTGAGAGTGGGAGAGATTTTGAAGGCATTAAGGACAAAAATGATGGGCACGGTTGGTTGAGTCTAAGGATCAGCATCGTAATCTGTTAGAGAACGAGGCCGTGGCTGTCTCTGTGAGTCGTTAATGGGTTTAATCGGTTGATATACAGCCCTGCTAGTGGCCTAACCAGTAGCTCAGGGCCTGGCGAATTTGCAGGACATCTCCGAATTTGATTGCTCTTCCTTTCACTTGGCAAAAGGAGACACCACTGGCCAGATCCGGAGGGGTCATGGTGAGTTGGAACCCACCGAGGTGGTCAGCTCAGAGCTGCCCTGCCACTGGTCAAAGTGGGGAGCCTTTCCACCTCCTTAACCCTGCAAAAATAAAACGTGCTAGTACGGATTGTCCTTCCACACTGGATCTCCAGTGGTTTTAGTCTGCGAGGAGGAGTCTTCTGGGTTGACTTTTCCAATTCATTATGCAGCCCTCTTGAATCGGGCCTCCCAAACTTAGCAGGCACCGATGGAGACCCCACAAAGGGGCTTATCAAGCAGGCTGGTGAAACTGGCCGTTTCCTTCTGTTCCTTGGCCCCCATAGTGTTTGAGACGCATGGGGCTGTGGTTCAGAACTTCACGTGTGCTAAGGTGGAGAAAACACCTGCCCTGTCCATTTAGGCTTGGGATGTTGATTTAAACTGAATGGTCAAAAATTAAATCTGTAAGTTTTAAAGTTTCTCTTTGTGATTTTACCCCAGTATTGGTAGACATTCTTAAATTTCAATGTCCTCAGTTTGGGAAAGAAGTTATCCAAATATCGTGTAATTATTGTTTGTTATTAAAAAAATATGCCTTAGACTGTACAGTGGGAGAAACTCTCTCTCCCACCTTGGCTCCCCTTTCCGTTCTGGGTTATACAAAATCAGCTGACAATTTAATGCTGTGGCCAACATTAAACAAAGTATAGTGTGTGTGTGTGTGTGTGTGTGTGTGTGTGTGTGTAAATAATGGTGGTAGCTAACACTTACCGAATGTGAATGTTTTCCCTATGTGCCAGGCACTGTTTCAAGTTTTACAGGATTAGCAAATTTAATCCTCATTACAATTCCATGAAGTAGGTACTTTTACAGATGAGGAAACACAAGCACAGAGAGGTTAAGCAATTTGCCCAAGATCTCACAGCTGGGAAGTATCAAAGCTAATACACCAACCCAGGCAGTCCTGCTCCAGAGATCATTCTGTGCTTTGCTTCCTCGCTTAAGTGATTGAAGCAGGGTATTTATCATATAGCATGGGTCCCAAACTGCGTTTGCTTTAGAAGAGTTTGACAGCTTTCTGACACGCCTTTAGTGGTCTCAGTGCACATTGCAGATTTTGTCATTCACTTTAAAAGAGTATCAGCCCCAAACAGGCTAATTGCTACGTCTAACATTGGTTAATAACTAATGCGAGGATAATCACACCAACTGTGGCAGTTTCATTTTTGTGCAAAGGATGGTTAGAATCAAGGGAGTCACTTAAATGACCAAAAACCCCTCAAGCATCCAGACAGAGAAAACATAGCATGTCCCTCTTGAGATTTATTCTCTGCCATTTGCCCTTTTTAAGGCAGGGAGGATGTGGGGTTAAATGATATGTTCCAGAACTTCTTGGAATTAATTTATTTGTAAAACGTAGAGTGCCCCCAAATCAAGTTCATGAATAATTAACTTGTACTGATTAACCAGGAGAAAATTATAGCTAACACTTTCAGCAGATTCCTTTAGAACGAAATTTAAAAACCCTATAACTTCATAAATCTCTCTCTTGAAGGCTAGTAGCTGAAAATAGCAATTTTCCCTGCATTTTACATTTAACAAATGCCGAGAAAACAAAATTGCCCCCTATTTTTCTAGTCTACTTCAGAAAACCTACCAAAGACTGTTTCTGTCTTCACTGAGGGAAATTTAAGAAAAGACCTGATTGGGGATCATCCATTTTGAAGTAATTGCACTCTCTCAGTCCCAGAGTTTAAACCAAGTATGTAACTCACTTCCAAGATGCTGGGTGAAGATTAAAAAAAAAAAAAAAAAAAAAATATACATTTGTATGCAAAAATTTGAAATACAAACCATCATGTTACAAAGCTGTCAAGATTTATTAGCAAGACAGTGGAGCATGTGTTGAACTCTGTTTTTAATTAGGCACCTAAATTAGACCATAAAATGGTTGATTAATCTTTTACAAGTTGAAGGGAAAATATAACATAAATTAACCTAATCATAAGTGTTTTCCCAGATGCTCAGAGTTAATAAAATAGTCAAAATTTAATAGCAACC